GTGGCAGGTATAGGTGTATGGAGGCTTGTGGGGGAGGTTGTGGGTGTGTGTGGAGGTTTGTGGGGGATAGATAGATGTGGGTGTGTAGGTGGGGTGAGGAAGCATGTGTGTATGTGGGGAGGGGAAGGGGAGGGAAGGGGAGGAATGTTGCCCTTTGGATACAGTATTGAAGATGTACTGTAATTCTGATCTGTGGCTGCAACAACAATTTGCACATCACTCTTTACAGTAACAATCAATGTATGGGCACTTTCATAAGGGAGACATTTTATCATTTGCATTGAAACAAAATCAACCTCCAAGCTTCTAAGGAATGTAATATAAAGAACAGGTAAGAAGGAAAAGAAGAAATGTAAGGAAGTTATTAAACAAGTTGTATTACTAACCTACCATTTTACCAAGTGCACTCTGGAAAGCCTCAGCAAAGCTATCTAGAAGGTTGTTGTCATCACATCGGGTTGCTTTGTACAGCATCTCAAAGGATTTGAATCCATGATTGGCAAAACGATTTACTGAAAATATGGGGAAAAGAAGCTTTTATTGGTTAACAGGTTGAGTATAACACAGGGGTGGAGGGCCACTTAATGACTTCAGGTGAGCTGTCAAAGGCCGCAGGGGTAGCCCTGCCCCATGACAGGTGCCCTGCCCCAATCGCCATCTTGGGACCAGAAGTCCCACCCCCTAATCCCTGGCCTTTGCCACCAGAAGTTCCCATCCTTGCCTTCCAAAGTACTCCTTTTTGGAAGGGGTTTTGCCATCTTGGAACCAGAAAAAAACAAATCACATGCTAAAAAACAAACATCTATTATAACATATTTTAATTTTATTTTAAAGAATTACTGTCCTGATTTATTTGAAAAATAAAGTCTTACTCTTGTATATTGTGTGTGAGGGAGTGTGGGGTGTGGCTGGGAGTGGGTAAGGGGTGTCTGTGTGTGTGGAGGGGATTTATTGAGGGGGGAAGTGTGTGAGGTTTGTGAAGGGGAGTGGAAGTTGTGTGTGGATTTGTGGGTGGGTGTGGGGTTTGTGGGGGAGCCCTGAGGAGGGGTGTGTGTGGGGTTTGTGGGTGCGTGTAGGTCTCCCTCCCACATGCCCCACCTATGGCGCACAGCCCATGGCGCCAGTGGCAGCAGCAGGCAGTGGGCCCTTGGGTCACTCCTGGTCCAAGGCAGGCAGAATCCCTTAGCAGCATGTGGCTCTGGCTGAATCACAGGAGCTGCACACGGTGGCAAGGAGCTGACCCAACTGAGCCCGCTGGCACACGCCTTCAACCCAGACTGAGGTGGCTCCATGCCAGTACATGGGGCTCCTGGCATTGCAGGCAGAACCTGTGTGCCACGGGGCCAGGCTGGGCTGGCTTCATGCTTCCACATGGGGCTTCCAAGCATTCCAGCAGGGAGTCACATGTGGAGGCACAGAGCCCACCTGGCCTGATGGCATGCAGACCAGGAGATGAAGGGAGTCATGCACCATCAGGCCAGGTGGGCTCCATGCTGCCATGTGTGGCTCCCCACTGGAGTGGTAGAAGCCCGTGGAGGCATGGAGTTGGCCTAGCCTGGCCTGATGGTGTGTGGCTTGCACCTGCAGTGCCGGGAGCCTCATGTGCTGGCACTTAGGCAGCTTGGTTTCAGCTTGAAGGCATGCACCAGCAGCCCAGGCCAGGCTGGCTCCATGCTGCCATATGCAGCTCCCGGGATTCAGCCAGAGCCATCCGCCGTTGAGGGGCTGTCTACAGCAGGCCAGGAATGCCCCGAGGGCTGGCTGCCTGCTGCTGCCAGTACCATGGCGGGGGACCTAGGAGGGAACCTACCTCAGTATAATAGCTTCAAAGACTGCTTTGGGCTGATTTATACTAAATTTTCTAAATTCAACAGATTATCTTTGAGAAAGAGCCTGAAATCCAAAGAATTTTATAAATATAAAGGCAAAACAAACTGCTCTAGAACTTGAATATGGTAACAAGCTTTCCAGCACACACTGTGCTGAACAGTATGAAAGTTCCTAGCTGTTAAAGAAAAAAATGGCTATCATTGACATATCACAACATTTTCTTAAAGGAAAGGAACCTGTGAGGTTCATGCCAATTTTTTTCCCCCATCATCAACTCCTTCAGATGTATTTTATGATATGTCACAGAGGGAGACCAAAGCATATATCAATGTTCATTACTAATCTAGTTGACCTAAAAGTACAGATTCCTGGTACAGACTTCAAAATTCCCAAAGTTCAAGTGTTCAGATCAGGGATTTTGGGCTGGTCCATAATTCCAACACCCTGATATGTGTGTAAATCACTGGGGTCATTATTATCTGCTCATACTGCAGAAATAATACCATTAGTTGTAATGGCAGACTTTGTTTGCACTACTTGAATCTATCTTTTCACATCTGAATTACAAATAAATTCAGGGTTCAAGCTGGGTTGAATAGCTGGGTTCAAGTTGGGCCCATCTCAAATGAGAAATTACTAATAGATTCTGGTTTGGTAACAGTTGATTAATCAGTGACTTTAGATTGTGGTATATTTCTTATATAAAAACATTTTAAAATGCAGCAACATACACTTTCTAAGGCTAGGCAAGAAACACAACATCATTCCCAGAAGACTGAAACATCTACAATCTTCTGACAACCACAGAGAAATTGCTTCTGAGATATCAAATATGCTTCACAATTATGCAGGAGAACTTCACAGAAAAATTAAAAATCATCTCCTTCACACAGCCCACACCAAAAGAAATCAGTTCAAGAAGGAAATCAACACATGCTACAATAACCTAAGAGAGATGAATCTGGATATCTTCCCAAGCATTATACAATGTATACAAAGAGACTACCAAAGATTTGTTACAACAACCATCCAACACAAAAACAAGAAATGGAACCAATTACTATAGGAACAATTTTCCCAGCCACAGAACAACCCTCAGACAAATGGCACCAATAAATACCTTATGACATTTTAGGCTCATACTTAATGAAACAGAAGGAACCAGTTAACCTTCTAATGTTATCAATCTCTCCACGCACACATTTACAAATGCTGAAAAATCTGTCCTCTCCAAAGCCCTTATTTGGGTCTTCTTCTGGCCAAAATTAAGACATTACAATGTGGAGAACTAGAAGAACTTTGCTGGCACCTTTGTCTGAAGGACTATTTTCCCAACCAAAACAAATCCTCTTTCAACATGACTTCATCCTGTGACAACATCAACAAAAATATTAATGCCAAAAAATCCAAAAAGCCCTCAAATTGGACAGCTTTTGGTGGACAAAATTCAAACCTTGACTGCTATATTGACTGCTTCAGAGAAAGAATGAACAATGAAATACTCAACAGCAAACACCACTATAACAACCTCTCCCTCTCAGAGAGAAGGGCCATAGAATCTCTACGATTCATCCACCAAATAGTAATAAAACCAGCAGATAAAGGAGGAGCTACAGTTATCCTTAACCATGAAGACTATACAAAAGAAGCCACAGACAACCTTCTGACACTACCTACTATGAAAAACTAAAGGAAGATCCAACTCCCCTTTTCACCTCAAAACCACCAAACACATCATTTCCATCTGAACTACAAGATAGACTTCAGACCCTGATCCATCCACTACCCAATCCAGGGACATTTTACATGCTCCCCCAAAATCCAAAAACCAGGGAGCGCTGACAGACCTATCACTTCTAACCATGAAACCCTAACTGAGGAAATATCAGGTTTTATCAAATCCATCCTAAAGCCTCTTGGCACCCAAAGACCAAGTTTTATCTAAGACACAACAGACTTCCTGTGAAAACTAAAAGATATAGACCACCTTCCCAGCATTACCCTCCTAGCCACCATGGATGTCACCAACTTATATACCACACCAGGACGGCATCCAAGCCTCATCTACAAGAGCAAGATTACAACTCAAAGTACAGACCTCAAGATAGTACTTCATCCTCACACACAACAACTTCAGTTTCAACAACCAACATTTCCTCCAGACCACAGGCACAGCTATGGGCACCAAAATGGCCCCACAACATGGCAACTTTTTCATGATCCACCTGGAAGAAGAACTGCTCAAGAACTGCACCATCAAACCCATGCTATACCTGAGAGATATAGATGACGTCTTCATCATTTGGACTGAAAACCTACAGTCTGACTGATTTCCATCACAAATTCAGGCACCTTGGGGTGGGCTGTGCTGCCCTGCTGTCTGCCCCGAGGTGCACACGCAGTTGCCACCAGCACAGAGCTGATGCCAGAGCTGTGAAGCCCGGCGCAGCTGTTTGCAGTCTGCCTGCTGCTTGCTGCAGCTGCCCAGAGCCTGGGCTGGCTACAAACAGCTGCGCTGGGCTCTGGAAGCCTACCATCACCTCTGTGCTAGGGAGCGGGGGTGAGACCGGGGCTACACTGCCTTGGGCCCCGCACCCACCACCTGCTCTGAGCCACGGGAGCACACGCCGGTATAGAGCTGATGTTGGGCCCAGCACAGCTGTTTGGAGCCTCCCAGCTGCAGCTGGCCCTGGCTCTGAGTAGCTGCTGCCAGCCAGGAGCCCAAGCTGCTACCAGCAGCCAGCTGGGATGCTGCAAGCCCTGCTGGGAGCAGCTCAGGTTTTGTCACTGGCAGCAGCTACCCAGAGTCGGGGCTTGCCGTGGTGCACTGAGCAAAATGGCCTCGTGTGCCAGGGGTTGTCGACCCCTGCCTTAGACCAACATGGCTGCAACCAACGACCCTATATCTATCTCAAAATTAGACAGGTTTAAACAGTATGGTTTGCTATAGTGGAAAAACTTCCTTGCAAACAGTTTCCTATAACCTTATTCTTCATTCCCACTCCAGTTGTGACAACATGGCTAGTCTACTCTGCAGACAAAATATTTTAATTTCTTATTTGAATCAAAATGTCATTGCATTGACACCCTGTAAATCCCAAGGATTCAAAACATCATTATTTTTACATTTCATTCCATTTCTGAAATAAGTTGTTGGTTCTAGAGGACTTACAGTTGAAGATTCTTTTACGTTTGGAGGAAAGTACAATTGAAGATTTTTATCAATAAAAACTGCCATAAGTCCTGGAACTATTTTAATCACATTCCTCCTATACAGATTGCTCAATGTACCACTGGCTTCTTTTACAGCAGAAAAAAGTAGGTTAATAATGAAAGTAAAACTTACAAGAACAGTCTGGCCATTCAGTAGAATATGGTGGCTTCCAGATCCCATCCTTATAAGCACAATGGTACTTTTCAGCTGCCCCTTCTGCAAAGCTGTAACCATCCATACAATGTAAGCTGCAGTTAACACCTATTTCATCTTCTGTGCATGTGAAATGACCATTCACAGGGGTGAAACGATTTTCACAGGGAGAACCTGTATAAAACACATTCAGTTCACATACTGGTAACTTTTCAAGTAATACTCATTAGACAACCTTAAAATTAGGATTTTCAAAATCATCCAGCATCAGCATAACTCTGCCTTCACAGAAGCCAACAGAAATATTTCAGTTGATTTCAATGGGAGCACAGTTAGTGCTTTTGAAATGCTCAGGAGTTTAATTCAGAAACATTGGCGAAGTACAGATAGTCAAAAAGGCTGAGATGGAGCCAATCCAATCTATGCAGGTTTCTCTAAGCTGTGTAAACTGGACCATTAGCAAACAAAACTCATGTTTGCCCTTCAGTGGGGTGAGGGAGGCAGATGCCTGCACTGGCCAAAGCAGAGGGTGCTCCTGCACAGCAACCAGCATGCCAGATATTACCAAATGCAACTGAGTTCAGCTGAGTGAGAGCCACCCCTCATCGGACGTCAGGTACATGCCTCCTCCTGCTGCCCTGTAACGTGTCAAGCAGCTGACAGCTGCTTACAGGCAACAGAGGGAGGCATGCTCACCCTCTGCTCAGTGGCATGGGGGTCTCTGGGCTTCGTCCGGGGTAGAGGGCACGGAGGCACTCCCCAGACAGGACAGAGGCAGGGGAAACAGGGCTCATGAGCTGCTGGGGGATGATGGTGCCAGCAGCATACCCCACCTTCCTGGCTGGGTCAGTGTGTGGGGGGGCACACAGTGTCAGGAGCACCAAGACCTTGTGCTGCAGTGACTCTGCGAAGGGTTCAGAGAATTCCCCCTCATGCCAACCCAGTGCTGAGTTTTGGCTGAAACAGCTTTCTCCTGTGCAGCTGTGGGGCTCCCGTCCACTGGCGGGGTTGGCGGGGGGGGAGGGGCGACACAGTTCAGCCCAGCACAGGGACCTGGTGCCCCACAGCTGCACAGGAGAAAGCTGCTTCAGCCAAAACTGGATGCTGGCTTGATGCAGGGGAAAATCCTCCTCTGAACCCTTCCTGGAGCTTCTGAACCCTTTTTATCTGCTGTCACTGTGTATCAATCCCTGCAGCACAGGGTCCCAGGCTTGGGATTGCGCAGGGACACTCTATGCTCCTCCTGACCCAGCCGGGAATGCAGGTTGCTCCCAGGGGAGGAGGATGGGGGAGGAATTTTCTGAGCCCATCCCTGAGCCACTGTGGTGCAGGGTCCCAGGCCTCCAGGCAGGGCAGGGACACTCTGTGCCCCTCTGACCTGGGCCGGGAATGTGGGGTGTGCCACTGGCACTGCCTCCCCCAGAAGATCACAGGCCCCACTTCTCCCCCACCCCGCTTCCGTCCTGCCTCACTAGCTGCTTGGCTGTAGCAGCTATGCTGTGGCTCCCTGAGAGGGGGGTGTGGGTCTAGCAGGCCCTCTGAAACCCCCTGGGATACTGGCAGATAGCAACCTACCTTGATTCACAAGTGGACCTGGCACTAACATTTGATAGGACCAGTCCACCCTAGCTCGAGTAAGTCTGATACTACTACATAGGATCCGGGTCTATCTTAGATCAGGATCTATTATTTTGAAACTGATCTACGTGTCTCAGATTTTTGTTTTGTTACAGGTATAGACTAGTTTCCAACCACCTAAAAAAAGTGCAACATCGGCACCTAGCCATTAGATTAAAAAAAAAAACCAAAGCACTCTGAAGGCTAGAATTTAGAGGTTTGCTTTTGGGAACTGGCTTGTAGGTAAAGTAGATATTGCATTAAAACAATGGTCCAGGGCAATGGCAAGGGTTAATTGATTTCTAAAAGCCTGTTTGTGACAAAGTTTCCTTCCAGGTCCCCTGTGTTTGACACACGCAATCAGCAAACAGACACACAGGCTGGGAAACTGAAGACATGTACCACACTGTTCCATAACAGAGATAAGGGTGACGGTGCCCACTGCAGAGCCCTTGAGATTTCCGATTTTGGTAAACAGACCAAATTAGGAAGGCACCAGAAAGAACTAAATTAAGATGTGTACATGTGATGGGTTTGTGAAACAAAGGAATACGCTGACAGGACAAGCGCGGACAGTATGATGATCACAGACAGGCCAGTCAACAATGCTCAGAGATGAAGAGTCATCAGGGGAGGAAAAGAATACAAAAAAAGAGATTTCAGAGCAGCAAAGGGTCCCTGAGGGGGGAACCCAGTGCCACCATGAACAGAGGACACACCACCAGCCTACCTCAGCCACCCCACTGGGGGAGGCTGGGCTTCAGCCTTCAACCTCCAGGCTGCTGACATCTGACATTCAAGAAAGAACCTTAGAGTGAAACTCATGTACTGGCCAGATGTATCTTGATTCTTTGAACCCTGGGACTAGTAGATATACCATTGTTTACGTTATTCTTATCTGCTATTACTGTCTATCAATAAATTTGCCCTATTATTGAATGGAGAGGTCATGGTCAGTCTGAGGGTTTTAGGTCTGCCTGGAACAAGGTATCTGGGTCATAAATCCAGTGCCAACACACTCAGAAATGTGGAAATGTGTGACTGAAAATCTATTATACTTTTGCCTAAAAACAAATCTCTCTTATTCTTTACCTGGTAAAACACTATATAAAATTAACTAGATTTTAAAATATAAGCTTTATACAGTAAAGCTATGGTGCACAGCTTAATACACCAAATTCTGATATCATTGCTGTTAGTTTTACATTGCTCTACTTCTGTTGACTCCAGTGGAGTTTGTTCTGTCATGTCAGAGATCAAAATCCAAACAGTAATTTTCAGATCTAGTCCAATTTAAAAATTTGGCATGAGCTACTCAACAAGCTGAGTTTGAAGAAAAATGTGAATATTTGAAACGGAAAGGACTAAAGTTTGGGAGGCTATGATGCTTGAGGTCACCTAGAGCTTGAAATGATGCCAAGTCTGAGAATTGGAAAGCTTAATGTTCTAAATTACAATAGCTTTGAATTCCATTAAGAAATTGACTATGTTGAGACACCACAGCAGTGGTTCTTGACCTTTTTTAGATTCAAGACACCCCTTGGAAAATGCAAGCTCTTAGTTTTTCACTGCTTTTTTTACTACAAAAATAGTAGAGAAATTCATCTGTTGAAAAGAACCTAGAAAGACCACAGGAGGTCAGAATGTTTTTAACACTATGGATTCCTGTTTGAAATCTCTGGGTTTATCTTGTGAATCATGTTTGCACACCTAACAGTGCTAATATTGTGGGGCACTGTGTGGCACCTTGGTTGAGAATCACTGCACTATAGTTTGCAATACCTATGATATTTAAGCTACAGGACTTAATTATTGAACCTTGGCTTGTAAATATAAATACTAGTGAGACTTAAAAAAATCAGGCCAAATCAGAATATTGGTATGTATTCCTGATTTTTTCAAATTTACATGTGTATTTGTCAATTTCATTATTCATTTTTCAAAAAGAATATCGACCTGCTAGTGGTTTGGGGAGGAGAGGTTGTCTTTATAATATACATGTTATACACATACACACATATGTAACAGCACACAGACTGAACACTAGAAAGTGTTCTGCTTCCTGCTAGGAAATTAGTAGTTAGTTTCAATAATTTAAAAAAAACCAAACAACTTGTCTTCCATACCAGCTACAGGAAGTAAACCCAAAGGCAGATTTTTATTTTCTTTGTCAATATGTATTTTGCATTGACAAACGACTGAATTAATTTCAAGGAATTTTACTGCTTTGAAAATAAAACTTTTGTGGCTTTTACATGTAATTTGAATGGGAAGGGCCTGATTCACTGCTACATTATACCAACTGCATGCCATATAAGCCATTCAATAGTGGACCTGATTTCAGCAGCATTAGAACAGTGGTGACTGAAATGTATAGAGCACCAGTCTGGTTTTACATTTTATGTATCCATGTATAATAAAGACTTGTTACTTATACAAGTGACTGATTTATAACTTCAACTACCTGATGCCGAATGATACAGATAACTGCATTTTAACTAGTTGTAAACTGATTTGTTTCAGTGGCCCAAAAAAAGAAAAAAAAAGAAAATAACAAACCTCTGATGACAATGTGGATCTCACATGTCCTGTTATTTCCTGATGGGTCTGTGGCAGTGTAATGAACTGTAGTTTCTCCTTTGGGAAAGAGATCTCCAGGTGAGTGACTTTTGGTGATAGTCAGTGCAGCCCCTGGAGTAGTTAAACAAAACAAACAAAAGAAAAAAAAAAAGCTCTCTCTGTTAACATCTTAATAGTTAAAAGCATACAGCAACCTTCCCTACTGGGGCTGACTATACAATACATGACTTGGGGCTGTTAATATTCTCAGGAAAATAAATCCTAGCACAGTAAATTCTTGATAAAGCAGTAGCATCTCTTCAAAACAGTATGTTGCTAAAATCCCTTGGTCTCAAAGGGTGCCAGGAGAACCATTTAGACTACCCCAACCTTCAGCTGCTTTGCGTATACCTGAGGTGCATTCTCTCACCTGAGTTGTCTGAAAACTGTGGCTCCTCCCACGTTGCTCTGTACTCATTCGCGGATACCTGAATTGGAGGTGGAGATCTGCATCTATCAAGTGTAGGGGCTTCTACATCTAGAGGATTGCAAAATATGGTATGAAATTTGATCACATTACATTTAGGATACAATTAAGGTATTAATTCAGCCATAAATAGTAACCCACAAGTCAGAGAAAATTTATGGCATGATGATATAGGAAATGCACCACAAAGGTATTCCAAATGTAATGCATAACATCTTTGTGGCTTGTTTGTATCATGCCAGAAACACTGATGCTCAGCTGATCAGTGAGACTGGCCTGGAGGCAGTACCTAGTTTTGGACCAAGTGCCTCCATCCAATTTCTGGAGGTAGATGCTGGGGGGAGAGGAGCACCATGAGCCTGACATCAAGGCTGTACTCCAGTCCTTTAAAAAGTAGGCATGCAGCTGTAGCCCCAGCTACACACCTAAAAGCAAGTGTTTAAGTTCCTGGAAGTATCAACTGAGAGGTTGAGGGCTCCCTGCCTCGCAATTGTAGGTGCTGCTTTATAGTACAGAGCACTGGAACCTGAAGAGCCACGAGATCCTAGATCCCCAGTTGCCCATGGTCCACACTGTATGCCGTCTTCAGATGGTCTGCAAATATACTTTTTAAAATTTCCTGGTGTGCTTGGATCCAGACAATGTGGAGAGGCTACTGGGTCTCTGGCTCCCAGTGCCTAGAGAGAGCTTTATAAAGAGTGCTGAAAGACCTCTATAAAGCTCTTTATAAAGAGAGCTCCCCCACTGGGGTCTTTAAATCCTGTACCAGGCAGCTGTGGCTGGGCTATGAAGTGTGGGGGACCAGAGGCTCCTGGCAGGGTTTAAAGCCCCCAGCAGTGGAAGCCCTTTGGCTCTCCTCCCACCCCTACCAGAAGCCTCCTATCCCATTCAACTGGCAGCCTGGCCAGAGGGGCTAGTGCAAGGTTTTGGCAATCATCTGATTGTTGCCCAGTCCAGAAAGCCCCAGTCTCAAACTGGATCCAGGGCTGTCCCACCCAGGGCCAGCAATCAGCTGACTGTCAGCTCACCACACTGGGTACTCAAACTGGTCCTGGTGCAGTCTGGGCCTTGGGTTGAAAATCATCTGATTATCAGCTCTGGCCTCAGTCTGCAGCAGAACTGATTCAAGTTCCCAGTTTGGTCCTGGGGGCAGAGGCTGACAATCAACTGATCGTTGGTCCCAGCTGTGGTTCTGGGCTCCCTCTGTACCAGCAAGTAGTATTAGGATTTGATCCCTGATCCCAACAATAGCGCCTCCTGCCATACATGGATGGCATGGAAGGAAACACAACTGTTGTGTTCAATGATCAGATCCCACTTTTCTGTTAAATGAACATTTGCCTTAATTATCACTACATTATCACTGCTAAGCTAATCCCATTGAGTTCTAACTGCTTAACCACACTACCACCAACAAAATGAACATGAAACACATCAGTCAGATAGCTAGTTAAACAAGGCACGAACTGTAACTCAGGAAAAACTTCACTTGAAATTAGTGGCATTGTTTTGGTGTTTATTTTGGCTTAAAGGAGAATGAGACTCAGTCAACGGTTCTCTAGTAGACATCAATAAAGAAGGCACTATGTGCCCAACTTCATGCTTGTTTTTTCAAAACCATCATAACATTACATGCTTACTAATGTGTTTTAAATGCAATTATTTCTTTAAAATCCAGGAAGAAGGCAGTGTAGCTGGCACTTTGGAGACTAACAGTTTCTGAGAGGCATGAGCTTTCATAGGCAGTAGCTTACTTTGTCAGACGCTATGAAAGGACTCATAGAAAGAGGGGATTTAAAAGAAAGGGTTTAAAGGACTCTGTCAAGCATAATTTCCCCATATGAAAACAAGAAGTGAAAGTGTTCCATCACTGCTAAACTTCAACTAACAAAGCAGAAAACCATTTCTCTGCTTATGCAGCAACAACACTGGCAAGGAATTAATAACCCAAAACAAGGATTCAAGAATATTTACTCAAATAATGCACATTTGCTTTAGTTCCTTCAGCTGTATTCATGATTCATTTCACTCTATGAACTTCCTAAAGAGTGATTTTTTGTTCTAAAGACTGCTCAGTAAAAGATAGAGAATATCATCAATAGTTAAGCAAACCACTATTTGCAAGTTTTATTTCTAAAGAAATGTGTATGTGTCCTTAAAGCTCTCCGTGACATTGGCAGTCTTTCAGTCAGGAAAAAAATGCCAAGAGAATATACCAATACAATGAACCACAGTGTTGTCCATGTTTTGTTATATTAATTCACTTTTTTGCAACTTGAAGGGAAGCCCCCAATTCTGAACAAACAATGCCTCCAAAAACAACCTGCATAAAATATTTAAAAGCAACACCCACATGCTGGGCAGAGTACGGCACCAATTCAGCAGGATTCACAAGCATGTGTCTCCCTTGAAGTGCGTGAACTGAACAAGACTATTCACATGTTTAAAATTAAGTGCATGCTTCAGTGTCCTGTTGGAATGGAGCCTTTCTCTGCACAAATCAGATCATTTTATCATTGCTAAAATCCTTCCTCTATGTCTCTGAATATCACTTACCAATAACTTTGACAATGAACGTACAGCTTGCCTCATTGCCAGACTTGTCGACTGCTGTGTAGGTGATAGGAACCTCTCCAATTGCGAAAAGATATGGTGGTGTAAAGGCCGGAGTAACATGAATGGAGAGCTGGTAAAGGAGAAGATACCATTACTTAAAATCAAGCCTGATTAGTTACAATGGTATTTATGTTTTAGGACATAGGCACATAAAAGTAATCTTTTAAAATTAAGGCCTACAAATTCAGATGAATCAGATCCTCATTTACTCTAGGGATGCTGTATCACTGGCAGCTTACAGGAACTCTGAAGTGGGAGCATGTTACATTTACACCCACCTTGAGGATGCTTTACATGGTTGGAACTGTGTAGAGGGACCTTGGCATAAATGAAAATTGAATTAAACCACTTGTATTCACATGACATGGGAAGCAATGTTTCCCCAAACCAGAGCTGTGAATTGGGGAGTATCACTTGTGGGAGCAAACTGTTATTGGAATCCTGCACAGGCCTCCCACTGCCTTCTGTTGATATCACTGGTCTGTATCTGAAACTTGAATGTAGTAAAAAATTGGATTCTATTTCTTTTAAAATGCTGGTGTGAATTTTTATTATCACTGTGTACCCTCTTTGAGCCCCAAAGGGTTATGATTAGGTTTATTTCCTGGGGCTCAGGAGATCCAGCTTAATACACTGATTTATATTTCAAAAGCTCCTTCTCAGAAATTAGCTGAACAAGAGTTTATGTACTTAAACACTGCACTGGGTATCCTGTGAGCAAATACACCTCTGATAAACAGAAAAAGTCTGAATTCTGCAGATACTCAGCATTCAACAGATATTTTTATTCATGCTTATCAAGAAACAAAGAAGTCCAATGACACTGAGGAAAACTAAAATAGCTAGCTAAGAAAGGACGGCATCAAATGAAGCATATAGGTTTTAGCTTGCCTCGTCTCCAGAGTTATCCTTGGCTGTTGGAATTTGCCAGCTAATATTAGCAGAGTTCTGATGTTCCAGAGTTGTGGCCTCTATATTGTCTGGACATATGATTTGAGGAGCTTCAGTATCTGAGTCAGAAAAAGACATAAACCAGTCATGTGAGTGAGATAACAGCCATAAAAACGCTACAACAGGTAGGCAGCTGGCTTGCTGCAACCACTGTTCTTCATATCTAATAGTAACACACCATTATTTCCTTGTGCTCCTCTTGTTTGTTTGCTTTAACATTCATTTGTCCACATTCTTATACTTGCACTGTAATCTCTCCAGGACAGGAACCCTCTTGGGTACATTTTGTACAGCATCTCTTAAACTGAGCCCTGGCTTCAAAGTGTTGCCATATGACAAATAATAAATAATAATAGACCAATGGTTTATCTTCTCTTACAATAACACATTCATTTATGAATTAAAAGGCTACCATATTCTTCTGTTCTTTGACCCAAGTGTAATCTATATACATTCATACCAAATATTTCTGCCCTTAAAAATATTTTTTTTCCTGTGATGGTGTACTCACATTGAGCAACAGCACAGTGTGTCTAACACCATGTTGGGCCAGGGTCTATGGCAGTCTCATAAGTAAAGGAGCTCTGACTGAACTGCCAACATAATTTTCCATAGCTGTTCCTTACAGTAATTTCTGAGACTAAACAAAAGCATCACCTATGACAAATTGAGTCCTATACTTAAATAAGTGACAATAGCTGAGAGGCTTTAGTGAGCCACTGCGTAACTAACACTGGGTACAACACACATGGCACAGCCAACAACAATTAAACCTCAAATTTCTTTGACAATGTAAGGCACTTTATTATCTGCTGGCATGGAGCCTCTTCAAACATCATGGTACGATATTTTTTTTTTTATTACTGTAGTGCTGTTTGATAAATGGGCTCCAGTCTCACTAGGCAAGGACAACAGAATTCAACTCTCAGCCCTTCTATGCCCAGGAGACTCCAAAGCAACATATGAACTGATTCCACTTACATATTTATAGATATAGATCTACAGCAAAGACGTAACTCTGGCAACTAAAACTCCATAATAACAACTACAAAAGCAGTAAATACAATCTCCTTTGCCTTCCTCTGAACCCATGCTGATGACACTTGTATATAAAGTATGCTCTTTTAAACACATTCCAATTGTGATTCATGCTCCCCAGACTACAGACTTTCTGTTGTAGCAAGTTCCAGTTAACAGTGAAAATCTGAAAGAGGGGTCATAACAACCAGAAAGGAAACTGATTATTTTAAATAGGTCAAATCTTTTGGCTGAAGAATAAACAATAAAGAGAACTAAAGCAGGGACATGTTTTCATAACATGTAGCTGATCACAACTGCATTCATTATTACTAGAAGGCATAGCCTTCAAAGACTCTCGTTATTTTAGGCTTTTATATCACTGCTAGTCATGACACCCTCCACATGCTTGGTCCCAATGCACAGTGCTTCATCTTGATCCAACCAGGTTGGCCTGTAGCCCCATGAGGTGATCCTGTTAGATGTTACTAGCTCTGCCCAGCCCACATTTGCAGGGAAGACTTCTCAGAGGCAGACAAGCAGCTGCTGGTTCAGTAGGTAGCACTGTTCCTTCTGAGATAACATTGAATCAGACCATGGTGCAAGGAAACATCGTGCTGTTAGCTGTGCTATGTTTAAAGAAAAAAGCAAAACTGAACTCCTAATCACTTTGCAGTCATTCAGGATCAAAGATCTCATGTTGATTTCTGTAGTGATGTAGCTGACATGATTTAGCTTTCTTTATTGTTTATGTTAGAAGTGCAGCACAGAATATAAAAGAACCCTTTCCTGCCTGTGGGTTGTGAGATCCTCCATTTGGAGACCCTCAGTGCCAGCTGCAGGATGGGAGAGTCAGACATACATTGTGCTTTCTCAGAGATTTTACCTTTCCTTAATTTCTGATTAAGGAAGAAAGCAAAGTCATTCAATCTTAAACTTTGTACTGTATGTTTATTAAAAAAGAAAATCTAAATTTTTTCAAAGAGCTGGGTGTTTATGCAGATCCTTGGCTGAAAACAAACTTAATGTAATCACATTCTGTCTGCCTAAACTCTCCATGCAGTTTTGACCAAATATCACATGTTGCACTGTTAACTCTTAGCCTTGTGCAATATTGCTCTGTGATGTTAAATAGAGGTAGTGCTCAATCCCAGAGATAGCTCAGCTATCTCACAGGAAATAAATAGCCCATGGCAGCTGGTACAGAAATAGAAGTTTTCTTTCATAACACAGAGTTGGTAGGAGATCTAGAACTCCATGACATTTCATTGAGGATGACACTCAGTAAGATCAACTGATCAATATTTGATCTCCAATCTTAAATTTCCAATTTGTCTTTAGCTAAGGCCTTCAATCATCACAAACACAAACAAAACAGGTACATCTAAGAAGGGTCTCAAGAGAGCATACTGCCAGTGAGGAACATCATATACATGTACCTGAACAAGCTTTCTAAGACCTAAATTTTTGTTATAAACTATTAAATATTAAATTACATAATATTAAGTGCTAAAATTCAACAGTTAAGCAATGATAATAGAACCAGTGCTTTTTAGAGCCCATTTTATTTGCTCTATCTGCCAGGTTCAAGCACATCTTTATACAATTATCTTGCATTTCTTTTCTTTTCAATCCCACAAATACTTGTAAATGGAAATTATTGTTCAGGTCTTTACCATTACAGAAAGCCTTCTGGACATCTTCACTCCAACTCCCAGAAGAAATGCACCTTAGTTGTTCTCTAGCTCCAGACAAGACAAAGCCATGAGGACAGCTCAATTGGCACACGGTTCCATATTTAGATGGCTCCCGTCCACAATTCAATGGATGCACCATCACACCCTTTGGTTTCTGGAAAACAGGGCAGTGCACCTCTACAAGAAGAAAGTACACAAACATCACATGGAATACACACATAAAAATACATACGCCAAAATACCAGCAAATAAAAACATATCAGAATGTAAAGAAAGGAAAAAAGAATATGAATATTATTCTAAAATTCACTAAAATACAGCCCAACTGATTATTGCCACTAATAAAATAACTTTCAATCAGCCTACATGGAGAATAATGTGTTTCAGATGGGCTGGAAAA